AAATGTAATATTTATAATTAATTTTATATAAAAGATTTAATTAAAATAAAATATAAAATATAAAAATAAAATATTTTTATTTAAAATATGTAAAAAAATATGAATATAATATAAAATTTTGTGTAAATTAATTATAAATATTAAAATTAATAAGATTTAATCTTTACTTTTAGGATATAATTTAATTAAAATGAAGAAAAAAAATCCGTATCAGCTTAAGAGTAATTATTTTATAATTGAGTCTAATTTAAATTATAAAATAATTTTTGATAATATTATAAGGAAATCTTATTACATATCATAATATCTACTACTTCTTTTAATTTTGATAAGATATGTTGAAATTATATATATTTATTCAATATTTTGTAAATATAATAAAATCATTTATTTTTAATTTTATTTTTACTATTTAATGTAATTTATAATAAAAAAATAATTTAATAATTTATAATTTAAACTATAAAATAAATCCACCCCGCTCTAAGGTCTCTTCACCGTCTAATAGTATTTTTTTACAAGCTCACTTTTGTTGAAAAGATTTTTAACACCAAAAGGTGTTTGAACTTTGAATATTTAAAACAGGAATTTTCATTAACTGGCTGGCAGCTCAAGAACTCAACTACTCCTCTGACTCACTTTTATGAACTCTGATTGCCTTTTTTCTTCAATTATTTATGCCATCATTATTTTTTTTTTTATAATGTTGCAGTGTCTCTAACATTGTTGCACAGTCTCACTAAACCAACGGTCGAATCTCCGTTCCTCTTCCGACCCCCACCCCCACCCCCCTACAAGCCAGTAGAGGGGCAACAGTTACAGGTAGATTATGTTTTGATGACACAATCAATCATCACAATACTAAATCTAATGGTCGGATTTTCATGATTGAATCCTCTGCACACTCATTTGCCTAGTACGAGGTGTTTAGTCCTAAATTATCAATTAAATCCAACTTTCAATAAGTGTTTATTCAACCAACAACTTAATTAATCTTCATTTAACTAAATAAATCAATATAACATGCTATTAGTCCATCACTTGGGGCCGATTGATCCCTTCTTGCAGAATGTGCTTAGAATTATCAAAACCTGAATTTTAACCTCAGGTTTCCTTTCCTTTTTTCTTAAAAAAATTTCTCATTGTTCAAAAATATATATATATATAGCATGCTATTAGAGTAAGTAAAAGAATGAAAAGAATATATATATATATATATATCTTTTATTATATATAATTTAGTCCATCACTTGGGGCCGATTGATCCCTTCTTGCAGAATGTGCTTAGAATTATCAAAACCTGAATTTTAACCTCAGGTTTCCTTTCCTTTTT